TATATATATATATATATATATATATATATATATTAACAATATAATATATTACATCATTAACAATATAAATAAATAAAATAAATAAATTTATAATATAAAAAATCAAATTATCATTATTGTTGACATTTTTGCTACACTTAAACATTTTACATTTTTTATTTATACAAAATTAAGATAAAAAAATATAGAAACTCTAGTAATCGCATCTTCGTTTATTATTTTTCTTCATTTTCATGATTTATTATTTAAAATACCTCAAATAGGATATAGAAAATATTTAGAAAGTTTTTTTTTTATAAGATTATTTTCTTTCATTATAGCTTATACGTGAATGAACATGAGTATGCATGGATTGTTTCTCAATTATTATTTTTTATTTTAAACTCTAAATTTTAATAATAATTAAGTAAACCATTTTTTTTATCATACAAATCAAAACAAAAACTCACACATGTATTTAAAAATATAATTGTTAACTTATTTAAAATTAAATTTATTAACATATTTAAAATTGTTAATACAAAATAAATTTTTACATAAATTAATAAACACATTTAAAAAAACAATGTGAGACCTATAAAAAAAAATCTTTATAATAAGTTATAAAATAAATTTAAATTTTATAAAATAAATATGAAAAATATATTTAAAACTTAACCTACGTGATTTGACTTATTCTCATTCATATGTTTTAAAGATAGATAAAATATTAAAGGGTAGCTGGCCTGATGATAGTGTAAGTAGGCCTTATATAAGTCCATGTGAAAATTGAATTAGGGCTGATGATATATATACCTTCATTTTTTTATACATACACCCTTTTTTTTAAAAAAAAAAATATTAAATTCTTAAATTATCCTTAATATTATTTGAAATAAAAAAAAAGTATCCTGAAAATTTTTTTTTCAGAGGTGTATTTGTACATAATTATGGAAAGTTCTTTCCGGAATACTAAAATTACTATTCTGGAAATAACTTTCCGTCGGAATAATTCTGGAAAGTACTTTTCGTAACACTAAAATTACTGTTGTAGAAAGTTCTTTCCGGAATTATGGTAACAAATACACACACTGTTAATATTCCGGAAAGAATTTTTCGCAATAGTAATTCTAGTGTTACGAAAAATATTTTCCATAATTATTTTGACGGAAAGTTATTTCCGGAATAGTAATTTTAGTATTATGGAAAGTACTTTCCGTAATTATTCTGATGGAAAGTTCTTTTCGGAAGGCTCATGATATATACACCTCCTGTTTTTTTTATAAGTACACCTTCTTTATTTTTTTAAAAAAATTATAAAATATTATATATATATTTTTAAATTTTATACCTTTAACTTTTAATTTTCTACTTTTTTCTTTTTTTTCACACACTTTTTTTTCTCTTTCAATTTTTACATGCTACCAAAATAGGTGGGGTGAAGGAAAGATAACGGGTGCATGTAAAAATTGAAAAAAGAAAAAAAGAAGAAAAAAGAAAGATCTGTAAAAAAAAAGTACTAAATTAAATGTTGTGAATATAAAATTAAAAAAAAAAGCAAAAAATTAAGAATATTTTAAAATTTTAATTATTTTTTTTTGAAAAGGAGGTGTACTTATAGGAAAAAGGAGGTGTATATATCATCAACCTTTGAAAAACACTTTCCAGAATAATTTTTTTTTATTTTAAATAATATTAAAGATAATTTAGGAATTTAATATTTTTTTTATAAAAAGGGGATGTATGTATAAAAAAATGGAGGTGTATATATCATCAACCTTGAATTAGACTCTACATACAAAGCCCATTAAGGAAAAAAAGGCGTTTTTCTTTTCTACCGAAGGAGGCCCAAACTTAAAGTCTAAAACATTGTGAAACGACGTAGTTTAAATCAATCGTTTGGCCTTTTTATCCTCAGACACACTAACAAAAACCCTAGTCAGGTTTGTGCTTGCGCCACTTTGCCGCCGTCCCTAACCAGAGAGCTCCCGCAGTTTGCGATCGGATTTCATGGTAGGTTTCTCTGCGAAATTCAATTCTTCTTCTTCTTCTGTTAACATTTTTCTAGTTTTCTCGTTTCTGATTTGATGGTACTTGCAGGCTCCAAAGAAGGACAAGGCTCCCCCACCATCATCGAAGCCCGCCAAATCTGGTGGTGGCAAGCAGAAGAAGAAGGTTCATGTTTCTTGCTCAAGTTCTAATTTTGTTACGAGTTATTATCGTTTTCCCAATTGGGCAACGCATAATGGCTTAATGTGTTGAAATGGATGTGTATTAATGTTATATTTGTGTGATTTGTGTTGTAACAGAAGTGGAGCAAGGGAAAGCAAAAGGAGAAGGTGAATAACATGGTTCTGTTCGATCAGGGTACCTATGACAAGCTCCTCTCTGAGGCACCCAAATACAAGCTCATTACTCCTTCCATTCTCTCTGATCGTTTGAGGGTACTCTTCTATTATCTTTTTATTTTTTATTTTTTTTATTTTTTATTTTTTTATTACGGTGAAGGATTGAATGAGAGCGTTTGTGTTGGTGGTATTTTGATACATGTTATGTATTTTGTGGTTGTTTAAATTAACATGCAAATGATAAGAGGTTTATTGGGAGTGAAGAGTCAGTTACAGTTGTTACTTAATTGATAGTCTTCTATTATGAGATCTGCATTCCTAGATGTGATTGTCTAGAGCATATGTTTGCTATTCTTATGTTTTTAATTGGGATTATTTTGACTGATAGGCAGAGATCCAACTTCAATTGTTGCGAACTTGTAACTTTGTACATTTTGTGTGCCATTTAAATCACATTACAAACATTAATCCTATGATTTATGATTTATTGATAGTTGTACTTCCTATCTAGTATCTGCCTGCTGCCATTTGGAGAATAATTCTGGGAAATTGTTTTATGTTAGTTGTTAAATATTTGACAGTCTTCTTGGTTCATGGGTGTGCCTACATTTTCTTGAATGGCCCTTTTGACTTTACTCAAGATTTGCCATCTATTGTTTTTATCTGCTAATAGTAATTTTCATATAGCAACTTTTGAGATGTGGTACTGATTTACTAATCAGTAAAGGTTGACCTCTTTATCTAGTTAGGCTGGCCTTATGTCCAAAACAAATATGTTTGTTATAACTTTATTTTGCAATATACAAATGGAGTAGTAACTGAAAATCAATTGCTTTTCTTTTTGCATCTTCAGCACCGTGATTCTGTTATTTTGCGCCCATGGTTCTACACTCAAAACACGAAATTTGTGATTCTCCATGTTCTTTGACTGTCTTTCTTAATTCTCAATAATCCAGATTCAAGAAGTATGTGAACCAATGCTTGTAATCAGATATATTTTCTGTGTTTCTCAACTTTTAATTAGTTTTTATGCATGATTTCAATTTAAGAGCATTATGAGCAAAGGTTCTCATCATTTTGCGTGCACCTTACAGATTAATGGATCACTTGCAAGGAAGGCTATAAGAGAATTGATGGCTAGAGGTTCAATCAGGATGGTGTCTGCTCATGCAAGTCAGCAGATTTACACTAGAGCTACAAACACCTAGATGTAGTATTGATGCACCGCTGAGTAATTTTGTTTTTCAGTTTGAGACATACCAGCATCAGTTTGACAGTGTTGCTAAATTCATGGTTTATTTCCTTTTACATCCTTGGTAATATATTTGACACAAGGCTTTTTCATATTTTATCGTTTTGGGCATTTTGCTAATTTGTTATTACGTCATAGTTTAGAGATTCTACACGAAATCTAGTATTAACAGATAGACGTGGCTCTCTTCTACTTATTTGAAAAAAGATTCAGGGTAAAGGGTTCATGAGGGATGATTTTTTTTAGTTATCAAGTCATTTTAGAGATTCTACATGAAATATTAACAGACAGACGTGGTTCTCTTTTACTTTTAAAAAAGATTCAGGGTAAAGGGTTCATGATATATATATATATATATATATATATATATATATATGT